ATATAATACCTGCACAACTAACTAAGACACTGGATGTGTCTGTGAAATGGGTTTAAAGTATTTTCAAAGGCCTGTTTCAAGCTTAATCACATACCGTTGGCATGGAGAAATATCACGGTCGTCTTTATTCCAAAGGTCGGAAAGGCATCACATACCCCATGGACCTTAGGCCATCAGTCTTTCCTCCTTCGCGCTTAAGACACTTTAAAGATTTATAAGCAGCTTCCTTTTTGACACCATTAACAGTCATCTTCTGCCTGATAACCAACATGCGTACCCTAAAGGTAAATCGACGGAGACCGCACTTCATAGTCTGGTCGCGCTTTCAACAACTTACTTCCGCAGGCTATTACTGACGCCGCGAGGTCCCTAGGAGTGGGTAACTCACTGGTGGAGTTTATCGGTCACCTACTCTGCTGCAGATAGGTGAGGGCGAGGATGGGAGCGTGTGAAATGTCGAGGCTTGTGACGAGGGCACTTCCCAGGGAGGTGTTCTTTCTCCACTTCTGTGGAACCTTACCGTCAACACGCTCTTGTGTGAAACGAATTGGGGGAGGAAAAGTCGTTGCATACGCCGATTACATTGCAATCGCTTTCGGGGGAAAGTTTCCACAAACGCTATGTGAGCTGATGCAACGCTGTGGCCTAAGCGTCAGCTCAAGCAATGTGGAGCTCATCCTCTTCACCAGAAGGTATAAAATACCTTCCGTCACTCCACCGGAGCTAAACGGTGTCCGGTTAAGTCTCTCTACAAAAGCTAAATTTCTAGGCGTTATTTTAGATAAAAAGCTGAGTTGGAAGCATAATATAATTCAGCGTTATGAGAAGGTTTTCGTAGTCCTCTGTAATTGTAAAAGAGCCATAGGCAAGAGATGGGGCCTCAGTCCCGGGATTTGTCCTGTATGGAGTGATCGTGTGGTGGCCTGCGTTAGATAAAGAGGTCACACTTCTCACCAAGGTACAAAGTTCCAGTATGATAAGCATAAGCGGAGCGTTCAGAACCACGGCAAACGATGCTCTAACGCTATTTTGGATTTACTGCCACTGGATTCGGTAGGAAAGCAGATGGCAGCGCTCGCTTAAGAGAGGTATCTCAATGGCAACCTGTAGTCAAGGGACACCATTGTATATTAAATAAATTTTGCTTGATTCCGAACAGCACAGACCGCGGTGCTTCGATATCGGTTCCGGAAAGCAACTTTATACCAAGAATACCAAGCAGGAAGGAGTGGAAAGAAGATTTCAACAGTCCATCCGAAAGCATTGACATCTATACATATTGTTCGAAACTCGACGGTAAGGTAGGAAACCCTCCACTAAAAATCTCTTTTAGGCTACCGGACTACTGAAGCGTATTCCAAGCTGAAGTTTCAGCTATCATGGAAGCTGCTGAGAAGCTTGGAACCGAAATGATGGGAAGGGACATCTTCATTTTTAGTGATATCCAGACTGCAATCAAAGCTCTGAGCTCTTTCACGTTTCACTCAAAGATTGCACTGGACTGCCGACTATCTCTACAGGAGATGGCCAGGCAGAATAGACTGCACCTTGCTTGGTTCCCTGGTCATAGGGACATGGAGGGAAACTGCATGGCAGATAAATTTGTAAGACAAGGCACGACCAGGCAGATTATTCCAGGTAAAGAACGCATTGGTATGCATTTTGCCACCTGCAAGCTGCTACTTAGTGAATTGGTTTACAAACAAGCTGAAGAAAGATGGAGTCAAAGTACGACTTGTTGGATTTCCAGGCAGACTTGGTCTAAATGGGGCCGGAAGCGGTCACGAAGGGTATACTCTCTTAGAAGAGAGGATATATCTAACGTCGTGGGTGCTCTAACTGGACACTGTCTAATAGGTAAGCATGCAGAAAGGCTTGGCGTGCCTTTCCGTGGATGTTGCAGAAGCTGCAAGGACGAAGATGAGGAGGAAACAGTCTCGCATCTCTTGTGTAAATGCTTCTGGGTTCACCGTTCCTGGCCCACCATAGGGACGTTTCAAATACTGATGCGAGGTACCTGATGAGATTCAGCAGCGACACGAAGTGGTTCAGTAGGGAGGATAATTGAACGGTGTCAACTGTGGTAAATCAATGGGCCTTCTATCTATAGCCTAAGTGTGCCGCTAAGGCAAGCAACTGATTAAAAATGCGGTAATAGCAGCAGTGCTCTAAATTTTTTAATTTTTTTGATAGTTGGCGGAACTTCAATTAAAGAAAGACAATCTTTGTACTGGAAACCTTTTATCATGATTAGTATTAAAATTTTACGTCTGAAACCAGGGAGAAATTGCACAACAGAAGTTCTTAATCAGTAAATAAAATTAATTCTTACTAGATGTTAAGGTTTCCGAATATTTCCTAGCTTGCATCACGGTGCGATTTATAATATTCGAGTGCGTTAAGTGGGGTTTGAGAGGTAGGACATTCACAAGCTACTGTTTTATGGGTTTTGGCTGTGTATTTACCAATACTACATGAGCGTTAAGGTCGCTGCTGCTATTCCCAAGTAGAGTATTTTTGTTGTTTCACCAGTGTGCATCCAAATGCTTTTTAGTGTGCTTGAACGTATGTGGAAATTTGTAGTTGGGAGAGTATAGAAAAACGTTGANTCTATTCCCAAGTAGAGTATTTTTGTTGTTTCACCAGTGTGCATCCAAATGCTTTTTAGTGTACTTGAACGTATGTGGAAATTTGTAGTTGGGAGAGTATAGAAAAACGTTGAAAACCAGCTCTCGCTTGACTTTTTTTCTGGTATTTTTCGCATCCTGGCGGATTTTGTTGATTTTTCGCTCTCATTTTTCTGCATTGGGACTTTTAGGTTTTTTTGTAAGCTCCACCTACTGTTGCTGCTTTTGGATTGGTCACGTCGGCGCACATATTTTTGTTAAGATGGGACGTAGGGCAAAAGGAAGCCTGTTGTAAAAAGAATGAGAATAGCGCTCTAAGAGTGGAGGGCTGTGTAAAAAAGTTTATCTAGAAAATGAAACCAAACGGGTTTGCATTGCGTTGTGTTATTTGGAAAATTCGATGCTAGAGTCAGCGTCTGTAAAGCTTAACGTATGTACATATGTGCACATATGCATAATAAAATGTGTGTACATTGTTTTAAAAAGAAGGTAGGCAGGTTCAGCTGTAGTGGAGCAAATGTTTGTGGACTGAATGCGCGTAAGTATACGTACTACATATATCCATAAATTTGTATGTATATAAAAGTATACNTGTGCACACATGCATAATAAAATGTGTGTACATTGTTTTAAAAGGAAGGTAGGCAGGTTCAGCTGTAGTGGAGCAAATGTTTGTGGACTGAATGCGCGTAAGTATACGTACTACATATATCCATAAATTTGTATGTATATAAAAGTATACATATTAATTGCATTCGTACATACACACTTATCGGCATATATTTGTGCATACACATGTAGATATATACACATATGTACATATGTATGTGGTTGTAAAAATATACCCATTTATTTTCTATTTACGTATCCCTCTCCCTTCTCCACAGGAAATGGAAAAGGTTAGCGTCTCTGTATACGTAGATGCAAGCAGTGAGTTGGGTATTTCGAGTTAGTTGACCAGCCAGCCTTGGAGTTGTTGTCAGTGTTCGTATCTCACATCCAAATTAGATGTTAGTTACAAGTTAAAAATTATGCACATGCGATTTGTCCCTTTTGCAAACCCCTCAATGTCCATTGAAGTTATGAGTTTTGCTGCCATGGGAGCCACAAATGACAAGCAGGCAGACAATCCTGTCTGTGGCCTCCCCATTCCAATAATTGCAGACAATGTGCGCGTAAACACTCTTATACTGCTGATATACATACATACAAACTAGATAGGACCGCAGGAAGTTCAAGTAACTTTAAATACATCATAAATATGTACACTATTTTATTTATTTATTTATTTAGTCTAATCAAACACAGACTATTAATAACAAGAGTCATAAAGTATATTAAAATTATTATATAAATTTACAATATGATTAAAGATTAAAGAGGATTATTACAAAGATATAAAATGATTTCATTACGAAAAGTAGACCTTGGTATTGAGAAATCTAAGCCTAAAGAACTTGTAAGCATATTAAAATCGGTGAGTCTTCTCTTAATTGGCGCATTAATGCAATAAACAGTTTTACTAAAGCCTACGTTAAAAATAGCAGCTCTTCTCAAATTTCTACTAGGAACATGGAAATTTATTCTTTCGATCAAAGCAGGGCAATCAATTTTGCCTGAGATAATCAGCCCTATCACTGAATCCATCGTAAGTTCGATTTTCCTAGTATCTACAAAATTGCGGTCACTGAATCCATCGTAGGCATGACTTTCGTAGAGTCTACGAATTCTAATTTCGAAATTCGTAGACTGCTTTCACTGAACCCACTCGAAATGTCAAATCGAACAAATTTTCTACGACGAGTTTTAGTTGGCGGGAGAAAATTGAAATAAGCGAAAATAAAAGAAAAAGCATATCGAACCAATACAATGTAAGTAAATTTGATAAAATTAACAAATTTAGTAAAAAAAAAATTTTTTAATAATTTTTCACAGGTCTAAAATTGTGACGACGCGACAACAGTATTCCTGTTTGCTGGAAATGCTGAATGAGAAACCAGATATAGCACAAGGGTTTACTAGGTACTCAAAGGAGGAAGTGACTGCATTTTGGGAAAACGTTGCAAAAGAACTGAATAGTATTGGGTCGCCTATAAAAGATGTGTCTACGTTGAAAAAAGTAAGTCATTTTAGTCCATACACTTCACACCTTTAGTTCATACAATCTTGAAGCAGAAATATTTCAACTAAAGGTGGGCAGGGTAGTATGTACAAGTTCACAAAGTGTTTAAACTCTCTAAATATTTTAGGTGTGGTGTGATTGGAAGTGCTATGTCAGACGCAAGCTCATGGAAAATAAAAGGGAGCAGACAGCTACGGGGGGCGGAAGAAATCGGCAGCATAGTTTTACAGATTTGGAGGAGGGAATGATAAAGCTAGCAGCGTTAGAAGTCTGCACCTCAGGCTGCAAAAACACAGTTAGTGTCGGACTACCTGAAGATCCTCAGGAAAAAGGCCCCGAAACCGATGCTGATGTGTCCATGGTGTCGGAAGCTTGTGGTTCATCACTGCCACTACGTACTTCCACTCCACAAAAACGAACGGACTCGGAAACATTAAACGTACTGAGAGAGCAAGTACAGATGCAATATGAATTTTTTGGAGAAAGCAAAGAGCGTTTTAAACGTCAGGAAGAGAAGTTGGAGGATATTGCATCAAGTGTCCGCCGATTGTGTCGATTAACAGATAAGACGTACGAACTAAAAAAGTCTGAACTTGCTGAAATGCGACGACATAACCTTGCGTACTTAAACTTGGTTGCTGAAAAAAATAGAATAAAGCAAGAAATGTTAGAAATAGAGCTAAGAAAACTGTATTTGTTAGATAAAAATAAAAAAAACTAAGTGTGAATAAAATAACTAAATAAAGGAAATAAAATGAATTTCAAATAGTTTTTATTTTATTTTGCTAATTAGATGAATATCAGTATTTATTATAAAAGTGTCATCAAAATGGATTGCCTAATCTGTGATGCGGCTTCATTAGTGCTAGTGGCTGCTGTTTCAGGGGCTTCGCTGAGGGACAATGGTTCTGGAACATGTTCTGATACATCATTTATAACGCGGTAGTGCAAGCAAATGTTGTGTAAAGCCGCTGCCACGTTCTCGACTTGGCTTACTTTTGAGGGTTCGTAGTGGAGTTCACGAGCTCCTAAAATACATCAGAAACGATTTTTCAAAACTCCAATAGTTCTTTCTACTATATTCCTTGCTTTTGAGTGTGCTTTGTTGTATACACTTTCTGGGCTACCTAATTGTGGTGAACGAAACGGAGTCATTAACCATGGCTCCAATGCATATCCGGCGTCACCTATGAAAAATGTCATAAATATCATACAAACATATGCGTGCATCCATAGTAAATTTGTATGTACCTAATAATAAGCAATTCCTCTCGCCTTCTAAATATTTCCTCTCACAAAAGGACCTTGCACTACTCACATTCCATATGTGAGAATCGTGATTACATCCTGGGTATTGTGCATTGACGTACCTGATTCGCATTTCATTGTCACAAATCTTTAAAAATAAAATAAAAATGTATACAAATTTTCAGTTTTGGTTTCTGCAAGCATATACTTACAATCATGGCATTGATGCTGAAGAAACCTTTCCGATTATAAAAAAGAAATTTGTCCTCCTTTGGTGAAACGATTTTTATATGCGTTCCATCCACACACAAAATAACGTCCGGAAGCCTATACTTGGTATAAAAATGCCCTCTAGCCTTTTGTTTTTCTTCGTCTGTCATATTCAGATTTACCCAATGAGGACATAAACGTGCTTGCAGGACTGCTAGTGTGGATTTTAAAATACCGGAAAACGTTGATTGAGCCATTGGTGCATCAAAATCTTTTCCAACGCCGTGTTGATAGCTGCCTTCCGAAAGAAAGCGTAGCACAGATGCCAGGCGTGTGATTTGATTCATTGATGTTGACCTGGCATGAATTGCGCTTCCCGCCTCTAACTCACCGAGCACATATGTGAAAGAAGCTTTGTCTATAATTTTTTATAAACCTACATTTAAAAGAGAAAAAAACGTATCAAATCCTTTGAAATAAAAATGTTTGTTTTACTTACATAGCGTCGTCTAATTCGAGTGGATTACTCGCATCTCTCAGAGTTTTCCTTTGAATTTTTAAGTTATTACTTTGATAATTTTCTTCTATTAAGACGATCGCACAAGCTACGGTATCCATTTTAATAAAATATTAGTTTAAGAAGTTTTACAGCATGATAATTTTGCTCAAACGCTTTGTTTACTTCACAACAGCTGATTTCGAATGGCCGAAAATTTACATTTGAGTTTGGCAGCACTTTTTTCGAGTTCACATGGATTCAGTGATAGCAATTCTTTCGTATTCGTAGCGGACATTCGAATTCGTAACTTTTCTACGATGGATTCAGTGATAGGGCTGAATGTCTGCGATAAAAGAAACAGATAAAAAGAATCTTCTGTTGCGCAGTATCATGAGGTTAATTAATTGACAGCGCGAGAAATATGACGGTTTTGGTTCTGCAAAATCAATAAAATGCAAAACGTATCTTACAAAAGCTTTCTGAACAGATTCTAGTCTATTAATGAACGCCCCGTATTCCACTTTCGACCGGATAAAAGCAGTATACAGA